GAAATTGACACATTTCCTGAAGAGGAAATTCATCTCGGTGAAATTGACACTTTTCTGACGGAACATGTTGCCTTCTGCTGGTACAGAACAGAACAGAGTGGGAAGGGACATTTGAGGTCTTCTAGTCCAACCCCCTGCTCAAGCAAGAGACCGTATACCAATTCAGACAAATGGCTGTCCCATCTCTTCTCCAAAACCTCCAGTGATGACACACCCACAACTTCTGAAAGCCACGTCTGTTCCACTGGTTAATTGTCCTCTCTGTTAGGATGTTCCTCCTTAATTCCAGGTTGGATCTCTCGTTGCTTAGTTTCCATCCATTGCTTCTTGTCCTGCCCTGAGGTCCTTAGGAGAATAGGTCGACCCCCTCTTCTCTGTGGCAGCCCCTCAAATATTAGAAGACCGCTATCACGTCCCCCCAATCCTTCTTTCCACTGCTCATTTGTCAAGAAATTTCTCCTTTAGGTTGCTCCTCTTCTTGATTATTCCCATCTATTACTTCTTATCCTGCATTCAGGGGCTTTGGAGCAGGAGTCACCAACCGTTTGGACTTCAGGGACCACCAAACTCATAATTTTAAATCCTGTGGACCGCTAATGTGAATTTTGACTGACGGTGGCTTGCTGACGTTGGTGGGAAAGTCGGTCCCCTATTCCAGAGCTGCAGGAGTCACAGGACTGGCCCTTTGGTCATCCCGGAGCAGCTCCTCCAGTCCACGGCAGGCAGGTGCACCAGGGTGGAGGAGTAGCTGCTCCGGGATGACCGAAGGGCCAGTCCTGTGACTGCTGCAGCTCTGGAATAGGGGACCGACTTTCCTACCAAGCCAACCTGGGGCGGATTTCCCTCCCCCACCATTGGTCTTACCTTCTAGTTCCAGCTTGCATGGTTCTACTCAAGGTAAGGTTTGTGCTCGGCCGAAGGGTGGGGGCCAGCGGGTGGGCGGAACCATGTGGGTGGCGCAGCCTTGTATTCCTGTGCAGCCTGGCTTAATTGCTTGGGGGGGGATGACATTTCTCTGTGGACCACCAAAATTTTCTCGTGGACCACCAGTGGTTCCTGGCCCACCGGTGGTCCCTGATGGTCCCTGGTGGTCCCTGGGCCACCGGTGGTCCC